AGTGAGTCATTGAGATTCAACCGATTCATTCAAACGGCTGATTCATTCAGGAACAAAGCATTTGACTGTGTTAATGAGTGAATCACTGAATCATTTATTCAACTGATTAGTTCAAAAAGCTGAATCATTCAATAAGTAAACGCCGTCCTTTGCTCGGAGACGCAAAACAGTGCTGTGATCTTTGTTTGGAACTATATTCGTTTGCAAAATTGAGCAAAAACAAGCAATATTAGGCTTATGTCTAAAATGTAAGTCACATTACTTTACTTAACTTGTATAAAATGATTATTAAATGTGTTACATGCTGATATCTGCAGAAAAACTGTACACTTTGTGTGAAATAGATTAAGTTAACTATATTAAATTATATAAATATAAAAAGCATACAGAAGCATTTTTGCCTTCTACAATTTAGAATGCCTGGAATTTTGAGTTTTAATAGATTAATAAATCAACGTGCATGCACTCTGTGTGTGATTTGGTGATAACGCTTACTTGATAATGTCCGATCGCACATCATTACAACAACACTTACCATATTATCATAGTGGAAAATGAGTCATCCGCGGTTGTGTGCGCACTTGTTTGCACATGAGCAAAGGTGTTTTTAGGAGTCTTAACTTGCAAGCGCCAGACCACTGATTCGTCAAACCTGCTTTCCTGCAGTCCGTGTTCTTCTGACTTCTGACTATGTTGTTGTAAGTAACGAATATGCTTCGGGGAAATGTATCGGAGTAAAAGTATACATTTTAATTAGGAAATGTAGTGGAGTAAAAGTAAAAGTTGGCTGAAATATAAAAACTCAAGTAGAGTCCAGATACTCCCAAAATATACTTAAGTACTGTAACGAAGTATTATTGCTTCGTTACATTACACTACTGCCCTTACCATAGCAGCCTGCAAGCTTCAGTTCGTTGTATTTTTTGAAAAGTGATTTCTGTTAAGTAAAATATCTCCTTTTGAAGTGGACTTTGAGCTTTGTAACTTTGCAGGTCTTTTTTATGCTCAATCAGCAACATTACAGATTAACTAAAGTTGAAAAAGTGAAAAAGCATAATAGGACCCCTTTAATACACTCGCAGAAGACTCAAGAACATCCATGAAATACTAATATCACATTAAGCCAAACATGTGTTTTTTTGCCCATATGATATCAACGGGTGGAATATTTGCCTGACCCAGAGAGGAAACTCGTGCCTTCAGCGTCATTGTCCGCAGTGCCTTCTCTCTCTGCGAGCCCATCCATGGGTGAACTGAAAGCTGCTCAGCCCAGCCCTCATCTCAGCCTGGTGCAATCTACCCAGCAGCCCTTGCAGCTCTCACATACAGCGATCAAGCCAAAATGGGTGAGTGAAGTGAAACAAAGTAATCAAAATATTCCTTCAGTCCATTTATCTGTATTTATGGACATTTCATGTTTACACAATGCAGCCTGAAGAAGACGCTCCACCCAGACCCCCTCTCCCTCACCTCTACAGTCCAGACGAACCCTTTTGAAGTGGACTTTGAGCTTTGTAACTTTGCAGGTCTTTTTTATGCTCAATCAGCAACATTACAGATTAACTAAAGTTGAAAAAGTGAAAAAGCATAATAGGACCCCTTTAATACACTCGCAGAAGACTCAAGAACATCCATGAAATACTAATATCACATTAAGCCAAAAATGAATGTCAGTGCAATACTAATATCAGCTCATTGCACTTGTATTGAGGCTTGTTCTGTGTTAAACAGGAGATGGAGAACGCTTGGGCAGAGTACAGCCAATTGGAGAGAGATGTGGACAGATTGCGTTCAGCCCTTCAAGACCAGATGACCCACAGTGCTCTCTCTCAGGTCAGAACCAGAGAAAGAAGTTGAAAAATGAGACACAGTCTTTCTTTTCTCAAGCCCAAAATTGTGTTTCAGCTTTTATCTCTCTAATGCGTGCTTCCAAACTAAAGCATCAATACTGTTTGAGCAGCAGAGTGTATCAGAAGATGTTAAACCGTGTCAGCCTCCTTTTCTATTCAGCATGCACCTCTCAGTCCGGTAATTGATAGAGAAAGAACAAAGTGATGAAAGAGAAATGGAGCTCTCGGAGCCGGAGTGAAGATCTAATGTCAGTTTTTGATCAGCGTGATAGAGCCGTAAGAACGAGGCATACAGTGTCTAAGATTATTGATTTCTCAAGTGTTTGTGTGAGAGCACAAGTCAATAAATTATGGCTTGTTCTGAAAATACAAATAAGAGAAAATCCTATCCTTTCTTCAGTGCCCCTTTGAGCTCTAAATTTGCCTCTTACAAAATCAAAGACAAGCCTTAGGGTTGTCATATTTTTTTTTAAGAATGATCGCAGTGGTATGAAGGTACTTCTGTTCTATTCTATTCTGTTCTACTCTAATTTTTAGCTTTTAGGTTCTGTTGAAGAAATGTTGTTCTTTATTATATTATATTATGATATGTACTATATTGTATTCTGACATACTGAAAGACAGACACTCATTTTTAATATTTTATATTGAATGTAATAAAGATTGAAATTATGCCTTTTAAATTAAAATATAATTCGAATATTGATAATATTTACGTACAAAATTCAAATGTAGTTTTTCAGCCATTTTGACAGCCCTATCACACAACAGTGTATAACACTCGTTTGAAAAGGGGGGGTACCGTGTTTGGTTCATGTAAACCACAGTACAGTTTATTGATGACATCAAATCAGTCTGCCTGTAAATTGCTAGTTATTTTGTATGTTTACGTTGTAGCTTGTGGAGGCGCTTCCCAATTTCCGCCATTCCCAGTGGGAGCAGAAATTTTGACAAATTCTGCGATTGTTGAAATAATATTTAATTGTGTGTGTTTAGGCTATATAAGAAGGTAGTAGTGAATTTAGCCTTAACATTACAAAGGAGCCAAAAATGGTGCAAATATATAATTTCCACCACTATCATTTTCATCACAGAATGCTGTTTAACACAATACTGTACGTAATTTGAGATGGAAATGATGCTGTGGTGAATTTTCGCTTAATACACTGCTGTTCAAAATTTTGGGGTCAGTATGATTTTTTAAAAAGGTATTAATACTTTTGTTCAGCAAGGACACATTAAATTGATCAAAAGTGACAGTAAAAATAAATTCAGTATAATTTCGAATAAATGCTGTTTTTTTGGACTTTAATTTTGTGTAAGAATCCTGAAAAATATGTATCACAGTTTCCTCAAAGAATTAAGCAGCACAGCCATTTTCAACATTAATAATCATAAATATTTCTTAGGCCCAAAATCAGAATATTATAATGATTTCTGAAACGCGTGACACTGGATACAAGAGTAATGGCTGCTGAAAATTCAGCTTAAAAATCCTTGAGGGAATTTTTCTGTATTTTTGATCAAGTAAATGCAGCCTTGGTGAACATAGAGTTGGAGAACCCTTTCAAAAACATTAGCAAAAAATATTACAGACCCCAAACTTTTAAATAGTAGTCTGCATACTGCTGGGCGCTGTTGGTAGACATATTAAAGTGTGTGCTTTAAGAGAGTCCACATAGCCAAAAGTGACCATACTGTAGTTGAAGAAACACCCAATTAAGCAAGTGTACCAAGTGTGAACGTGACATCAGGCTGCTCAGTGGGAAAGTACAAACTCCCAGCTCGGAATTTTAGAAAGGATTTCCTAAGAAACCTATAAGATTTGTCTAATCCAGTTCAACTTCTGTTAGGTTTGACAGGCTCATCTTCAAGACTGAACCAGTCATCAAACATTTCATCGTTTGTCACCCTCAGAAGAGGACTCACCACCACAAGCTTGAAGGTAGGAAGCCAACAAAGTCCTGAAAGTGTCTGTTGAGAGGCAGGGGGACATAAAGAGTCCGTCATAGTTTGCTTTGGCAGAGCTGACAAACAGCAGGTTGATTAGATGCAGCAGGAGTACAAACCGCTGAGCACATGAAATAAAAGCAGCCAGTGTGGGCTTGGGCCAGACTGTACTTTGCGAATGAATTACTGCTGTAGTGTTGCCATGCATACTGTGAACACAGTGTATGTCTCCCACCCTGATGGAATCATGCAGAAAATGTTAACAGAAATGAGCACAGCAGAGCTTCAAAATGAACTCCTCTGTTTCTGATACTTTTTTTCTCCTTATTTTCTCCTTCTGCCTCTCTCTTTCTGACGGACTGTTTTACACTCATTAATAACAACACACTGCATACAAAAAACAGTCAAATGACATTAAATTTGTTATATATATATATATATATATATATTGCTATCAAACATACAGTTATTAAAATAGACATATAAATGAAGAGTTTATTTGCAAAAACAGATAACTCTTGTTTTTTTTTTAATTTTCAAAAATCATGTTTTTTTTATTGTTATCATGCTTTTATTGTGTTTTATTGTGTTAGTTAACTGTATTTTTTGTTATTTTTTAACCTAATCAAAATAACCCAACTGCAGTTTGATTGAGATTAATTGGAATGCACAATGAAAAAACATGATTTTTGAAAATGATCATTAGAATTCTAATATACTGATTTGGTGCTTAAGAAATATTTCTTATTATTATCAATGTTGAAAACTGGTGCTACTTAATATTTTTGAGAAAACTGTATATATTTTTTCAGTATTCTTTAATAAATCGAAAGTTCAAAAGAAATACAGAGTTCTGGCATGAAACTCTAGATGGCGCAGTCCGATAGGTCTAACTCAATCTGACCTAATGACATCATTATCACATGGCACAGCTGATTGGTTCTCTCCTGTATCGGTAGCCAATGAGCTCACTGCTCAACATTCAAATATGACTAGCGCTTGCCATATCAATTGCAGCTTGCTTCAGAAACCCTCCACCTTCCCCAGCTCCTCCTGTATAGATCTGCTACAAGGTGATTCATGTATGCTATATGGGGGTTATTTCATGTATGTCATATTTGCAGCAGCAATATTTCTTACATGGATGGATTGGCAGTAGCAAGTCTCGGTACTTGCTCTGCCGCAGCAGCGTAGCAGATCCATTTCGCCAAGACCAAATAAATTAACATTGTCATGTACATTACCATGTCAATCCCTCAGAGAGTTTTCATGACAGAACAGTGTTTATTTGAAATAGAATTGAATTCATTTATTTTTCAACAAAAGTTGAATACTCACTCCAAACTTTTGAATGGAAGTGTAATTAACATAAAAAACTATAAATACAGTACACTGCAATACTAAATGCAAAAACTGTAAGTGAGCAGCAAGAATATAGTAAAGGCATAGACAGACATCCAGTGAATATTGGTTGGGTCCTAGATGGTTGAGTCTCTCTTTTTTCCCCTTTTCTTTTTCCTTCCCCTCCTCCCTTTCGCAAATTGTTCACATTTCTCTCTTTGATTTTTCTCTCTCCACACTGTTCTTTGGTCCGGTTTGTTTCAGCATTATTAACACGTCCACTGGTGTCTCCTAGGAGAGACCAAAGAGTGCCTTGGAGCGGCTGTACTCTGGGGAGCCCGTGCAGCAGCGTGGCCGCATGAGCGCCGAAGAGCAGCTGGAGAGGATGAAGCGTCACCAAAAGGCTCTCGTACGGGAGCGCAAGAGAACGCTCAGCCAGGGCGAGCGGCAGGCTTCCTCATCTCGTGCCTCCTCCACATCCAAATCCGTGTCTGCAGACCTGGGATCAGTACGTTAGAGCACAATGACACATTATCCTCCAGAGAGAACTATCGCCTTGACATAAATGCGCATTCAGCTATTTAAACTGTTTTAATGGAGAACTGTAAGATTTGGCGTTAAAATGATCAGCATTTTAGTGTCTAGTAGTGTCTGCCGCAGGTAAGTGGGTATGTGGGAGGTGTTGCAGAAGGAGATGTGAGAGATTTTATTATATGTTGTTGGGCCACATGGATGGGCTACAGAATAAGAACAGATGGGAGTTTTGCCAATGAAAGACATGGACTAATGTGTTTAGAGGATTAATAAGGAAAGTTGAAATGCTACTGATTCTCACTCTTAATGTAGTTTCAAAATGTTCTAATGACTTGTATGAGTGTTTAATTTTAACCTTGGGACATGGCTCCTTAAGGGAGCAGCTCCCGTGTTCATCTGGGATAGTGAATCAAAGTAGTGTGCTTTTACTTGGGGGGTCTTTGAATAGGCAAAAGCCAACACTAACATCAGAATGCTCTTTTAACATCTCTATAACAATAACCTAATGCTCTAAGTTATGGGAAACAGGCTCTGCTGTATTAGTGGGCTCATAAACTAAACTAAATTTCAAGCACAAGCTCTCAAACCTTTTAGCAGTTCATCACTCAACCGCAATAATTATAGCATAACTGAAGTGTGAAACCAGACTCTATTGTGTTTACCTCACTCATTTATTCTTTTGTTTTACACTAATTTCACCCAGTTTCACTGTTCACACCCAGCTTTCTAATAAGTCTTACAAAACCTGCAAAATCATTTTCCCCTGCAATTTGGGTCTGAGTGCACAGAATAAATGACATGATAATTTTTTTTTTTTGATTTACCAATTAAACTGTCATTCTGCAAAACATGATTTTATAACTTGGTTTAGCTTATCTGGCTTTTTTTAAATAAATACTTTTATAATTTTACACCTTGTTTTACCAAAATGTATTGAATGTGTACACAATGAATGGCCTGGGTAATGTATGAATTACTTATATGTTTATAATTGTACTACTTACTGAGGCTGAGCATGTTTTTCTTGTTCATAATAAAATAACAGCGGATTGTAGCATAATTTGCAAAAAGAAAATCAATTGCACAGCTCTTTTTTGTAGATTTTTGCACATTAGAAAATAAACACTTTGCTAGTTAAAAAAAAAGTAAAAGAAGGTAATTGTTCTTTTTCTCTCTACTATGAATGTGAAACCACAGTTCATTTCCTGACACACTGGTTTATTTTCTTTTCAGTAAGCACAATAAAGCCTGGGAATGAAGCATGTAAATGAAGTCACAGATGGAGCATTTTATTGCGTCTTTCTTGGTTTGCAGGAGTGCTGTAAGCTACGGTTTGAGAGCTTGAACATGAGACACTTCACGCACAATCAGTCCAATCACTTTACATGGTACAGAGGTACAGGATCGCACTGGGACAATATACCATTACGTTCAAGGTTGCAGTTTAACCTAGTTTTGTGTGTTGTTTATGTGCAGGGCTGTCCTCTTTAAACTTTTTATTTCATGTAAAGAATGAATGTTGGATGTAAGATGATATGTGGAGCACAGAGGTCATTTTGGCTTTAGTACTCTGTCACAAACTCTGTCACATCTGTCCCAGTGTAACTGGAAATGTTATCCTACGCTTAACCTGTCCTGTAAATCAGGTGAAGACCATTTCAGAACCAAAATATTACATTTTCACGTCCCGAGTTGGATGTATGTGAGGTCTAGATCGGCCGTCTCAAGGCTCTGTGTGTTTGTGTGCCTTCAGTGGAGGAGAGAGCAGGACTTTGATTTGCAGCTTCTGGAGCAGGCCGTGCAGGGTGAAGAGAGACCAGTTGAGCACAAAGAGAGACAGCGCTCTCGGTCAGACGAATGGCTCACCCTGAGCAGCACACCCATGAGAGAACTAGATCTGGAGCCTCTGGACTACCAGCTGGACCTTAGCAAAGAGGTAACCCTACTGCTTAAAGGGATAGTTCACCCAAAAAAAGAAGATTCTGACATAATTTCCTTGTTGTGTGGAACAAAGGCCTCAGTCACTATGTGCTTTTGCTTTATAGAGAAAAGATGCAGTAAATGTTAATACTGAGTGAGACAGTACTTAAAACACTGCCTAAATTCACCTTTTCTTTTCTTTTCTGAAAGTCATGCAGGTTTGATATCACATGAGAGAGAGTAAATCCAGACAGAATTTTTATTTTTGGTTGAACTATCCTGAGTTCATTTCATATTATATAAAATGTAGGCTTTTTATTTCAAGAGAACAAAAAAATGACCAAAATAAAGAAAATGTTCAACTTAAATGACGTTAGATTTCAGAATTAAGTGATTGATGGTGTGTGTTTGGTCTCAATGACTGTATAGCTGGCAAAGCCACAAAAGGTGGCCATCCCTGAGCGCTATGTGGACATGGATCCAGAGGAGCCCCTCAGCCCTCAGGAAATGGAGGCCAGACATCGTAAAGTGGAACGAATCAAGAGCATCCTGGCTAAGTCTAGGTACTGACTGATCAGTCTCATTTAACACAGCTGCTCTTATTGTCATCTTTATAGATGTTTTCTTGCCATTATATATACTACCATTCAGATGTTTGGGGTTTGTAAGTATCATTATTTGATCAAAAATACTGTAAAAACGATACTGTGAGATATTACAATTTAAATAACATTTAAAATGTAATTTATTTTTATGATGGCAAAGCAGTCTTCAGTGTCACATTATCCTTCAAAAGTCATTCCAATATGCTGATTTGGTGCTCAAGAATTATTTCTTATGTTGGAAATACATTTATTTGAAATAGCAAATCTCTTGTAACATTATAAATATCTTTACTGTCACTTTTGATCAATTTAATGAATCCTTACTAAATAAAAAGTAATAATTTCTTTCTTGAAAAGAAAAAAACACTTACTGACCCCAAAATGCTGAGAACCATTGTTACACTTTTCTCTGAGAGTTTACTCTAATGTACCTGTTTCTTGTGTGCATATAAGTGTCCAGAATATACCTCCTCCTGCAGCAGTAGACAAGCCGGTGCTGCCGGACATAGACTCGGCTCTACAGGAGCAAGAGAGAATCATCACCATGTCCTATGCCTTAGCATCAGAGGCCTCGCTCAAGAGCAAACAAGTGGCAGGTAAACTAACCAGCAGCATTACTACTAACCTGAACTGATTCCTTAAATTCTTACTGATTATTATTACTAATTCCTGAAATTATCTTGTTAAAAAACACTAAATTTTCTATGGAAGCATATACTGTGTTTTACAAAACAGTCAAAACTTATTGTAAAAAGCACAAATCATTTTAAATGGCAAGAGCAAGGACAGGGAGTGCACAATGCATGTTAAGGCTAAGGACACTGAAAGAGAGTCCCATAATAACATACAATCAACAGTTCACACCTGTATGACTGCCAGAGCTCTGTTTGAATAGATTAATTTCAGATATGCTCTGCGGTACACCTTGACAAGTTCAGATACTCTGAAAAGATCAAGGTAAATGTGAAGAAAACACTTCAGAAATTGTTATTTGTAATGCAAATCTGACAGTGTTAATAAAAGTTCCTGAATAATCAAACTGACAAATACTGATTAACTGTGAACATTGGGAGAAACGGTCCACCCTGTTTCAAAACATCGGCATTGGAGGCGTGATGAGGAAAAAGAAAGAGCAAAGCCAAGCCTATCAGCCGCAACGTTAATAACTGAACATTATTCCTTATTAGCGCAGATCTGACGAGTAATATTACTAATTCCTGAAATTATCTTGTTAAAAAACACTCCATTTTCTATGGAAGCATATACTGTGTTTTACAAAACACAGTCAAAACTTATTGTAAAAAGCACAAATCATTTTAAATAGCAAGAGCAAGGACAGGGAGTGCACAATGCATGTTAAGGCTAAGGACGCTGAAAGAGAGTCCCATAATAACATACAATCAACAGTTCACACCTGTATGACTGCCAGAGCTCTGTTTGAATAGATTAATTTCAGATATGCTCTGCGGTACACCTTGACAAGTTCAGATACTCTGAAAAGATCAAGGTAAATGTGAAGAAAACACTTCAGAAATTGTTATTTGTAATGCAAATCTGACAGTGTTAATAAAAGTTCCTGAATAATCAAACTGACAAATACTGATTAACTGTGAACATTGGGAGAAACGGTCCACCCTGTTTCAAAACATCGGCATTGGAGGCGTGATGAGGAAAAAGAAAGAGCAAAGCCAAGCCTATCAGCCGCAACGTTAATAACTGAACATTATTCCTTATTAGCGCAGATCTGACGAGTAAAGATGCTTGCTAATTGGGAGACATGTCGGATCTTTCAGGCTGGGAGGAATCTCTTGATGAGGCCATTTTTTTCAGAGCCGATCAATGACCCAGTTGAATATGCACTGGGGCTTGTTCACTCTGCATCCCGTGGCAGCACTTTGAACATCTTTCTGAACTGGCATAAAAGCACACCATCGTTTCATCTTTACTTCTTACAGAGGCCTCACTCACTCTGCCAGGTCTAACCTTCAGACAGGGTGCAAGCGTGTCCCTCTTAGTCACACAGATTTACAGTCAATTCGTCCTGACGTGATGGATCATATTGTGTGAGGCTGGCGGTATGGCGTAGTCAACAATTATCACAGTGTTTCCATTAGAAGGACATGTCAGAATACCTTATGTGAGCGAAATCATCTGTGAAGGCAGGTCAGGGTTTTGATCACCCGCAGCACCACTTTGAGCATTTATTTTGAATCTATGAGGGCAGACAGAAATCATCTAAAATAGTCAGAGCTGTGGCATGTAAGCACATTTTCTTAACACATCGAATTGTGGTGTTCATGCGGGCAATGCGCGTTGGCTTGAAACACTGCCTGGGTCCACTAACCCTGTTTGTTTTGTCTTGTCTGTTCTATGAATACAAATGGTAGAAAAGGCCAGATGTAGCTAAAATTGATACCAACCGGTCCAAACTGGTTTAGGTTGACTACCATCTGGAGGAGCCAAGGACATCCTGGTTAAAGCTGGTAGACCACCTTGATTAAAGGAATAGTTGCCCAAAAGTGAAAATGTACTACTCACACTCGTTTCATTCCAAACCCATATGACGTTATTTCTAACAAAGAAAAAAAGGAGGACATAGTGCTTATGGGCACTGAGGATTTTAATCTTCAAAAAGTATGCAAAAGCACCATTAAGCTGGTCTATGTGACTTGTGTGCTATATTCCTAATTACACTGAGATCCAATCACAATGTGTCCTCGGCTACCTCTGGACCAGGACATGCTGATCGGATAGTCATTATTAGCTGAGAATAATCTCTTTCAGTGAGCTGAGTCTGGTTAATCCACTGTAACTGGATCATTGAGTCAGTGAGCTGAACTTTAGCGTCATAGCATTCAGATTCAGACCAGTTTTGTGAACGGGATCTTCTGATTCACTGAAAATAAATCACTGTTCGAAAGATTGGCCTTGGTAAGATTTGACGTCTTTTTAAAAGTTTTTATTCTCAGTAAGACTATACTTACTTGATTAGAAACACAGTAAACACTAATACTGTGAAATATTACAATAGTAACTGTTTTCTATTTTATTATATTTTAAAATATAATATATTTCTGTGATGGTATTTCTTCAGGCCTCCATGTGCTCAAGAAATGTTTCTTCTTATTATTAATTGTGGTTTTGTTTCTTTTTCCATAATTCTTTGTATTAATTTCATTTAAAAAGGGTGTCCAAGTCAAAAGTTGTTGTATTGCTCCTGGTTTATTCCTCACATACAGTTATTTTATGACTTCAAATGCAACAAATCACGAATATCGCTTTTATGATACTTTTACAGTGCTTTTCCTTCCTGTTTGAAAACAAAAAAAGGTCCTTCTTTGTGTTACATTGAAGAATGGAAGTCACACAGGTTTGGAATGGCATGAAGGCGATGAATTATGAAATAATTTTTATATTAAGTGGCCTTAACTACTATATACTTACATTTGAAATGGGTACAATGAACTTATTGTGTACATACATGTTTTACATTAACTTATATAAAAAAAAAATACCTGCATGTAATTATATCTGTAATTCATTTCTGTAATTACATTTATAGTTACACTTTTGACCCATCTCTTACACCTTAACCCAGCCTTAAACCTACCCATACCACCAAACCTGTCCCTAACTTTACCCCTATCCCACCTCAATAGCAGCAAGTGTTTTGGAATACAATACAAACACAATAAGAACATTGTACTAATGTTTTATGCAAGTACGTAGTAGTTAAGGCCACCTAATATAAAGTGGGACCCCAATTTGTTTATTTTGATAAATATCCCTTTAAGTTTGACTACCTTGATGTCCTCAGATCGCTCTTGTAGTTATGTACTCACAAATAGCACTTTGTAGTGTGTAGTAGCAACTACCGTAACTTTGTCACTACTAGCTCCCTGTGTGTTACTACGCTCCTCTGTTCCTGTTTCTGCTTCAGCCTCACCGCCGGTTAACAGTCCCACCTCCCTCCCTCAACCTCCACCACCTCCTCCTCTTCCTCCCCCCGCTCCTGTTGCCGTCTCTACGGCTCAGTCTGCTCCCCCTCCCCTGAGCAATGGATTTCACTACACCTTTGTCTAATCAGAGAAAAACAAAGTAAGAACTAACTGCTAATCATTTAGCACGCAAATGTGCTTTTGCTAATTGTTCCCTGTGTGTTTTGGCACCTTTTCTGTCTGCATGCTGCATGATTGTGCTATATACTTACATTTGAAATGGGTACAATGAACTTATTGTGTACATACATGTTTTACATTAACTTATATAAAAAAAAAATACCTGCATGTAATTATATCTGTAATTCATTTCTGTAATTACATTTATAGTTACACTTTTGACCCATCTCTTACACCTTAACCCAGCCTTAAACCTACCCATACCACCAAACCTGTCCCTAACCTTACCCCTATCCCACCTCAATAGCAGCAAGTGTTTTGGAATACAATACAAACACAATAAGAACATTGTACTAATGTTTTATGCAAGTACGTAGTAGTTAAGGCCACCTAATATAAAATGGGACCCCAATTTGTTTATTTTGATAAATATCCCTTTAAGTTTGACTACCTTGATGTCCTCAGATCGCTCTTGTAGTTATGTACTCACAAATAGCACTTTGTAGTGTGTAGTAGCAACTACCGTAACTTTGTCACTACTAGCTCCCTGTGTGTTACTACGCTCCTCTGTTCCTGTTTCTGCTTCAGCCTCACCGCCGGTTAACAGTCCCACCTCCCTCCCTCAACCTCCACCACCTCCTCCTCTTCCTCCCCCCGCTCCTGTTGCCGTCTCTACGGCTCAGTCTGCTCCCCCTCCCCTGAGCAATGGATTTCACTACACCTTTGTCTAATCAGAGAAAAACAAAGTAAGAACTAACTGCTAATCATTTAGCACGCAAATGTGCTTTTGCTAATTGTTCCCTGTGTGTTTTGGCACCTTTTCTGTCTGCATGCTGCATGATTGTGCTTCATCAGGGCTTGTGCTGTAGTATTTAGTAACTTCATGAGTAGTGTAGATTGGCCCCCCCCTCTAACAACTGCCTCCACATCTGGAGATGGAGAGGTGTGTGAATTGTGTGCAAATTGGCTCTTTGTGAGCCGATAAGCCTAAAAAGCCATAAACAAATGCTGTCTTTTGTGAATTGTTTGTAATTAACAAAGACTCAGGGCATCGCTACGGCAGCACATGCTGTTGTGTTGCCAAACACCACTTGCTTTGCCATCTGTAATCTGTAAAGAGCTTTAGTGTTTTGATGTCTGTGACTCACTGAAATAAACAGCAGAATGACTGTCAGGGTTTTGTGGGGGAAAAGGAAAAACATGGCCCTTCGTCTTTGTACACTTTATATATGTGTGCATCTCTCCAAAGCTATTTTAGTGCAGTTCATGAAAGAGCATGACCTCCACCTGCATTGTGTGTTCTGCTTCTCAGGATGCCTCAAATCAGTGAACTGCCATGATTTCCCATTTGACACATGCTAATTATGAGCTATTATATGCAGTTTATGAGGCACTGTCCACAAACACAGTACACTTTTGGGTTCCGTTAGGTCTTAAAAGCACAATTTGTTTTTGTTTGTTATGATTTTTATATTATAAACTATTATCTAACATGTAAATAAACACAGCATGAAAAGTTAGCTAGTTTTACCTTAGAAGTCTCGATCCTGGTTATGGTTTTAGAATACAATACCATTATTTTGATGTCCCAGGAAAAAAATACAAATAGACATATACTGAAAAATTAACTAACTAACTAAATAAATAAACTGAACTACAGATGTCCTAATGAGTGACAGTACATTACTGTATGTATGTATATATAAGAATAATAATATAAAACAATAAACATTTGACATTTCTTTTTTTTTCTTGCTTGAAAAAAAACCCATTAGTGTTTTAAACAATATTCAGACATGCCCCAAATATCACAAAAAAATGTACTGAATAGAAAATGAAACACCTCATTAACATCAATATTTAGTTTGACCTACTGAGGTAAGAAAAAAAATATTTTAAAGATTTTCTGCCCTGTTTTGTACCATACTCTGTTGGACAGTGCCATGATTATATTATACTATACGGAAGATTTGAGTCAGTGCATAACCATACATTTTATATGTTTATTAGCCAATCCATTTAATCACTGAATGCCTGAGCTGGCCGTGTTATTCTGCTGTTTCAGCAGCATTTGTATGAAAGTGAGCTGCATGCTGCATGTGTCATGCACATGCATGTGTTAAAGTGTGTTTAACTCAGCATTTTCTCTATGTAACATGCTGCACAGAGAGAAGGAGGGTGGAGAGTGTTTACCTGTCTACTATTTAGTAAGGTAATTCTAGGGTTATAAAAAAAGTTTGGCAGTTGAGTTGAAGAAAATACACTGGGAAAAAAAGTGGTGTAGAAACAGTTTTCATTTAGAAATTGCTAGTAAATTTCACAAATAATTAGAAAGAAGCAAGTAACATTAAATTAAATGCAGGGCTCGACATTAAGCCTTGACATGTGCTTGTCCTTCGGACAAGTAAATCAGACAGTCACTTGTCCGGGGGAAAAAGGCCGGCGTAAATGTAATTTATTCTGAAGCAATAGTCTCATCAGTGCTCTATCAGGTCTCACTTTAATCAGCGTATTTGTGAAATTTGCCTTAAATTGATTTCTAGGACATTTTATCTTTGTGAAGGACAATATTTTCCTGACTTTATTGAATGTACGTGTCATCATTTACGTCACATTCTTACATTTTAACAATACATTGTTAGAATAATAAGACACTGTACGGTTGTTACCATTCAAATGAAATCAGTATCAACAAACTCCATCTTTCCACTGCAGAGGAAACACTGAAGCTGCATCGAAATTGCCATTTAGATGTATTTACTCAGACTGTTTCATGAAGATAAGAGGTTCCATAAATGCATTTACACAGTAAAATTGCAAATGCATAAATAATGTTATAAGATTAATGGTTTACTTTTTTAACATACAAATATGAAATGTTGGAAAAATGCAATGATACTTTTAAATATGAAACCAAAGTACCAGTAGGTGGCGGCAGATCACTGTCTTAATGAGTGAGTCACTGATTCAACCGATTCGTTCAAATGACTGAATCATTCAGAAACCAATTATGTGTTGCTCGGCGATGCGTATCAAATAAATGTCAGATTTGCAATCGTGCTGATAGTCGGAAAAACATCACTCTTGGTCGTGTGATGTTGCTTACCTATATTATATAGAATATTTATATATTTTTTTCTACCGCAGTATGTTTGTTCGTGTTTGTTTCTTTGTGTGTGCTGTTGCACTTATTAGTTCTGATTTGTCCACGGGTCACACAGGCTGCGTGAGCCTCAACTGACGCAACTTTGATACTGTCAATACATTATCCGTTATCAGTCACCATTTACACTGAAAGTAATAAAATCAGAACCATTGTTGCCAAAGTTTCGGCGCTGCCCTAGTTATTGTTTGCTAATGATGTTTTAAATGGGTTACCTGTCCAGGCAGGCAAGTAAAATTCTCTTTCACTTGCCCCTTCACAAAATCCACTTGTCCCGGATAAGCGGACAAGCGTTAATGTCGAGCCCTGAAATGAGAAATGATATTGTAAAATCGTTGTTTTATTTACAACTTCAAATTTGTTTTAGTGTACAGTGTAGGCACTTGCACCACATGTTTTTAGCACTGAAGAATGTATTACTTTAGTACACTCTTATGTGTGGCTCTTTTTTCAGTGTATTGTTCTGTTTTGCTTTATTTCTTTACATTTCTCATCTCTCGCTCTTTATCTCTTTTCCAGCCAAAGCTGTATCTGGATATTGAGGTGCTGTCACATTCTGAAAACCCCACTAGTGGTGGACAAACTTAAACTCAGCTTATCGAATCACATCGCTCACATTTAGAGATGACGTTAGCGCACTTTTGGACTCACATGGGAACTCACTTCTGAAATGCATTTTTTGTAGAGCTATTATTTGATATGGGCTTTTTGCTGTGGAAACTGCTGTGCATATGCTGTACAAAATCTAACCATGATAACCCAGATATAGAGAGCCATTTTATATACATTACTGCAATTTTAATATGCACCGTATTGTAGAGAACATTCAAAGCTCATGTTTTACTTCTCAAGGCAAGACAGATGTTTGGATGGAGTTCAGTTTGAAAACAACGGTAACGTAATAGCTAAAAGAAAAAGTATTATACATGTGTAATGCATTATGAACATGAAGGGTACAAAAATGTCATGTCGATTGTATTTTGTCAATTCAGATGATATTCTTACACCAAATCACTTGAAATATTATTTTTATGTATCCAGCACTGCCAGTTTCCAGTTAGCTTGCCAAATGCATTTTATTTTTGTTGACTAAGGTAAGGAAAAAATAACATTAAATAATATTTTCAGACAGGATTTGTGGGGAAGGGGTTGGGGAGGGAAATGCCACATACTTTTTTAAAGAAACTGTAAATATTAAAGATATTAACAAGCTTTTTGTCTTTTATTCTGTTTGTGTTCTCAAAGAATGAAGGAAAGAGAGAAAAGAATTTCAAGTTTTTCAGCTTCAGAAGAAAAATGATGTCAAATAAGGAATTTATGAAATGATTTGGAGGTTTTACATTTGCATCGTCAACTTCCTTTTCTGATCTCACCTTGTGTTTTATTCCTTCCATACAAATTCGGTTAAAAGAATAAGAATAAAAAGAATAAAATATAAGGACATAAAGAGAGAACCTCATTTTGAAATTCCTTTTCCACGTATGTTCTGTAACAACCTCTTATTTTTTATAAAGAACAAAGGTTTTTGCCCGTAAATGTGAAATGTGCTCTTGTCATTGCTTCAGGGATTTCCTTTAAAATGTGCATTAAGTGTTTTGACCTCTTTATGTTGTAAGGCATTATAAAGATAAAGGATTTTAATTTCACACAGCTTTTTACATTTTTTTTTATCTTCATTTAATGTATGTGTCTACACACACACACACACACACACATGCACACATACATGCATACATAAATACACATACCTGTACACATCTTTCTACATTAATATATTTAATATAATAAAAATAAATTATATAATTATTTAATATATTCAACATTTTATAGATTATGTATTTTAAGATATTTATATACTGTATTCTCACACACACACACACACACACACACACTATTTACATATACAATTGTGTGTGTGTGTGTGTATATATATATATATATATATATATATATATATATGCTGACCAAAAAAGTACATATAAGAATGCTTTTTTTTTCTCAACTCCACATTTTGCTGACTGATTTAATGGCACTTTTGTTTATCTGTTAGTGAGTCAGTACGAAAACCACAGCAATTAAAAAGCGTCCTTTACATGATCGTGATTATCATTGTACCTGCAAAGGACATTTCCTAAGACACTCTTGATTGGACTTTTTTAAATCGTAGTGTAAGTGGGTCTGCACGGCTGTTAGGATACTTTATGTTGCAGCCCTCAAGTGAGATCTTTATCTGTAATTGGAGAGTAATTACAGTCTCTCCACTGCTGTATCTTGTTCTTTGAAAGCACCTGTGAGACATGCTTCTCCTCCCATAGCTCCACAGCAGGAGCTGCCACATCTCACTGCATCTGATTAGAAGAAGTGAGAGGTGGGCTATACTGTGTGTGTGCGCGTGCATTAGCGAGCCTGGTGGGCATGAGTTTGATCACATCCGCTTTTCTGCTTATTTTGCAATAAGCGGGCTGTTTTTCCTCCTCCAGCAGAAATCCACCCAAGACCATCCACAGAGAATTGTGGCATTTCCATTTATTGATGTTTGGCTGCTATTTCATATACATTTGTTATTCCGCACTCTGGATTTCAAAGAGAATAAGAAAAAACCCATTATGCAAATTCTGTCCTGTTCTGTTAAATGCACTGAATGTCTCAGGCACTAATGCGGCACAAAATATTTCACCCTCTTTCAAAGAAGTTTAAATGTATGTACGCCTAACTGTATTTAGACGCGTTGTTGTCCAAGGCTTCTGCGACATTGAGTGTTTGAAAAACATTTAACCTTTGTTCAATCCAATTCATTTGAGTATCTACTGCGTTCTTCCATATCAAAGTTGTGGCGCATCACAGGTCCTGTTGTGTCCGCGATGTAATTCAATTCTTGGATGAATACGTGGATATTAAGCATAGAATAGAAGTTCCTTGGAAATGCAGAAGGAATGCTGTATTTAAAGTTGAATACTATAAATGTCCTTCATTCGAATGAATGAATGATACATTGAAGAGATTGGAGGGGAAAAAATATTGCTCTTTATTCACCGCCCAACCAAATGTGATAACTCTCAGGAGGATTGTGGGGATTTTCAGCAATAATGTCCATGGCAAGAGGTAGTCTATGCCAAGAATCATTTACAAATATGCAGTTGAGTATAGACTATTTGTCAATATTGACATGAATCTGGGTGGTGTTCTCTCCACAGGACTACTCCAAATGCTCTCTGGTGAATTGGAGGCGACTGTTTACTAAATGTCTAGAAGTGACTGAATTAATTAGCGTAAAACTGTGTGCAGCATTTCTACACGAGTCTCCATAAATTTGTCAAACCATGATGTGTTTTGGAGTGGCTCAAATGATTCCATTCTGTTAATGGCCACCTGTTTCAAAGTGAAATCTGAGCGGCCGGAGCGATTTTGAACTATTCCGACCTTGTCTTGGGAACGAAAGCTATGTTGACCCTGAAGTTTGACAGCTTGACAAAAAGCTCTGTTCTTTGCTTTCTTGAATCGAGCCTGACAAAGCTCCAGTCACGGAGAGAAAACGGCTGCTTAGCTGTGGAATAAACAGAGATAAAACAGTGCACAAAGAAAGCCAAAGAGCATTTAGTAATGAAACACTACAGATGGCCCCTGTAAGGTCAACTGCACAATACCATCCATGAACCTAAAGTTTGCACAAAATTAGGCCTGGTTTTGCAGTACTCTGATTTTTCCTTTTGACAACATGACAAAATTTGGCGAATTGTGATAAAATGCAATATGCAATTCAAGAGTCTTTTTAAAAAAAAAATTATCAGAAGCCATAAAAAATACTGGAAGACTAGATGTTTTAGAAATGATCACATTTGTTTTTTAAATACATTTATTATATATTATAAACAGTTTATAATTCTGTATTACATAGATTTAGACATAGTTTATACATTTTCCAGTAAAATATATACAGTTATTTAAAAATATATATTAATTAATAATGTAATCATTAAAAGAGTACCAACATATACTGTATATATACTACCACTGAAAAGTGTTGGGTCAGTAAGATGTTTTAAAAGAAGTCTCTTATACTCGCCAATACTGCATTTATTACAATTTAAAAGAATTGTTTTCTATTTTATAATGTAATCAATTTCTGTGATGGCGAGCTGAATTTTCAGCAGTGTCACATGTTCCTTCGGAAATCATTCTAATATACTGATCTGACTGATGCTCGGGTGACATTTCTTATCACGGTTGAACAGTTGTGCTGCTTAATATTTTTGAGCATCTTTTTTGTTTTAAAATTATCCTTTTTTTTTGGTAACAATGTAAAAGTCCTTACCGTCACACTTGACAAATTGAATGCCCTTGCTAAATAAAAAAAAGTCTTACTGATCCAAACTTTTGAACGGTTGAATTGTTTATTTTTTCTTTTGTGAAATGGTATCATAATGCATATTATAGTGGGTACATATCAAACTTAAGTGGGATGTCAGCTCATATTTGTAAAATAAGGACATAGAATAATTGTTGCAATCATTGTTCAATCATTCACACACATGGTAACATGTAACTGATACATATAAAGTATTTTATTGAGGAGGGATTGATGTTCTGAGAACTTCTGTGAGGATGAAGAATCCCTGTCCGGTTTCAGTTTCTCTCCAGTCCCTAAAGCTCCTCCAGACTGTGGAACGAGTCACACTGTAGCCAAACCTGTATGGATGCATAGGAGCATATTGAGTTGGACAAGCCGCCACATTATACATCCAAGGCGAGTAGCATATGCCCGTTAATGACCTGTTCTTCACTCAATCATTTCTTTCCCTTACTCTTAGACGTTACTGCGATATCCATTGTGTGCACCCAACAAATCAGCTATGAAATCACAAATTCACTCCTCTCTGGATCCAGCCACGTCTCTCCGGGCGCTAATAATTCAAAGGCACACAATTACTGTGTTTTAAGACTTCGTGTTGTCTCGACATGGCGTTCCCAACACTGCAGGGATTCTCATAACGCCTGCATCTGACTTATGCATTCACCTAAGGGAGGCTGAGATTCTAATACAAAAGGTACTTTGAATCCAAAATGGTATCTTATGCTCTTTTATCACCATTGATTTACTATCTATATTTTCGGAGAGAGTTGCTAAATAATTGAGGAGGTCGGCTCAACAGCATTCAGTGTTCTTTTATACACATCCCTGCATATCTAACAGAAGAATAGATAAAACTAGAACAGAATGTAGGCGGATAATACCTCCGAGTCCCGCCACAGCTTCAGTAGTACAGCAGAGCAAAGATCTACCCGCGATGTAAAATGTCAAGCCGTCTTTGTTTGTTCTCGACAACAATAAAGATGTTAATATTCACCGAGACTAACGTCTTGGCTTTCTGATTCAAACAAGCGAACAAGATGAGAGAGAAAACGCAATCGTTCCAGACAAACGATTACTCCTGCATGTGTAAAAAAAATAAAGTCATTGGGGTCCAATGTTGTTTATAGCCTTTTTAATTTGAAAAAAAAGAACAAATAAGGCACTGTTAAATGTAATTAATGTACTGTATTCATACGAAGGAATTTTCAGTATTTTTTTTATAGGTGTTTTACCTGTATTTTGAATTTTGCTAATTCAAATGAATGAATAATGTTCAGGTAATGAGCTGCCAGTACCTTTTCTGTTATTTTACAGATTTATTTCTCACAGTGCAACGGTACAGTATATCTTCTTTTGTGTTCCACAGAAGAGAATCATACAGGTATCAAACGACTTGAGAGTGAGTAATGATTTCAGAATTTGTATTTTGGTGTGAACGAACTATTTAAAGGTGTAATTGTTCTGATCTTTAGCTTTGGAGATGCAAGATAATGATTCAGTGGACCATTGAACTACAAAGAGTTTGAAACCTTAATGTATTAATATCGAAGATCATTATTAGGTTATTTAGAACAAATCCTATGCACATGTCTGCTCTACAAAGCTTATATATTTAATTAAAATGCTCATAAACTCTTCAAAAGGTAATAATGGATTGGGGTTTCCAACCACTGACATTTAAAATACCTCATCCTGTGTTTCCTGCCACATAATGGTTTGCAGTTTGTCATTTTCTCTTTCTTTACACAGACCCCGAGTGATGCTGAAACCCTCTGGACTATACAACAGGGTTGTTTCGTGCATGGTTTAAAAAGAAGATGTTTCGGAGAATCTTCATCCAGTGTTAAATCTCATGGAGCAA